AACTAGCCCTCTTCTAACTTACACTGGTCTCTATACCTTACAGATAAAAGCTATGTCATTAACTTTAGTAGAGTAAATCCTCATTTAAAATTACATTATATCAGATTAAACCTATGACAGAAAACATTAATTTTCTGCTTCATCCCCACCCCCCCCAAGTACCTAATAAGAAAGATCCACAACTCTGACTCCTTCTTACCAGTATTTCCAGTAAAAGTAACTACAGCAGCACATATTTCAGGTATCACTTCCACACTGAAGTCACCATCATCCTCTGACAAGCCACTGATGTTCTCTACCAGCATAATTAACATGCAGTCTTTTACTGTCTTCTGCACATTTTCAAGCACAACTACGGCGGAAGGCAGGGATCCTTGAGAGTCCTCCACTTGACACGGCTCCCGGAGAGTCTCCACTTGCCACGGCTTCACGAACAGATCAATTTTCTTCACTGAGTGATGCTTCCTTTGCAAAACTTCTTGGGCATCTAGTACCAGAGGAAAACGAAGATATGATCCACCCTTCCCCTCCTGCCACAGCAACATGTTAAAATTACACTCTATTTTAAAAGTCTGGCCAGCCATATTTTCCTCACATCACAGAAGAAAGGGAAATAAGGCAAAACTACATCAAAAATTAGCATGAAGATAAAAGCTACTCTATGATCTAGGCATCCTCAGCCTCCACAAAGGAAAAAAACCCGTTACTTTTTGAGGTAGGTACTACCTCCTTTCTACTGCCCTCAAGTGCAAGAAACTGTTCTGCGGATTAGTAACATCTAATAAATTGCAAGAAAGGGCTTTCCATCCTGCTTACCTTGTGAATTTAACAAGTACTCAAATACAGTTAAATATTTGTTAAATATTTAGTTTCCTCTTTTTGTATACATCCTTCACACACTAACACGTTGCCAAGAGCACTTTAGTGTAGAGGAATACATAAGAAAACCACAGATAAACTGAGGCTACTTTAAAATAATTTTCTCCACAGAGGTGAGCATTCACCTCTGTGTCTTACAAATACGCAATACTTACTACCTCTTTTCCTCCCAATTTCCAAAACCCTGTCAATTGAAAATAATATGAAAGAAAATGTAACAAAATAATATTTACTCATGATCTGCAGTTAATAATCTACTATCCTGAAACTAGTATTAAAGCTTACTTATTCTGCAAAGCTCCTGACATAATTTCTCTATGAGCCTCAATCAAGCATTTGAGGCTGGTCTAGAGAACCACTTCTTTCCCTGTGGGTTATTATAAATACTGTCAGAAACACACATCTACGTTGAATAGACAGGTACATTTGCTCCTTCTACATCCTGAGCCAATCTTTGGGAATATTACACCATTTCTGCTGAGGAAAGGCCCGCAAAGAGATCCAACACCAGCAAAGGCCTATTTTAAAAAGGTAGTTTTAATAATATAACACCCCCAAGATATGATCATACCTTCCTCATCCTGAAACGTGATGATCATTTGCTGATCCTTTCTGATGTAGGACTTGATGGTGCCCCCACCAGACTTCTTTTTATTTTCAAAGTACATTTCCATAATCTCATCTTCTATTTCCTCCCCAGAGGCAGTGGTTACTACTATGACAGATTTCTTAGAGGTTGCTTTTTCCACTTCCAATTTCTCACCTAATTCTGAAATGAAAGATCATACCCTAATGCTTTACGCAGAAGTTAAAAAAAAAAAACAAACCAAACCAAAAAAACAAAACAAAAAAACAACCCAAGCTTATCAAGCTTATTATCTTCCAAGCTTTCAAACCGTTTTGTTCAGATGACGGATAAGATCAGGGAAAAAAATCAGTCAAATTAACAGCAATTCAGATGTTTGTTCCTCTTCACAATAACTTTTAAATCCCAAACAAGCTAAGCATATCACTAGTGTGACTTGTCATATTAACAGCTGAGGAGAAGAGGCTTCCATTCATGACCACACAAAGGCATCAGAAGTAATGGCTATGAAAGCTTCTCCACAAATCCACGATGAGGGGAACCATCACTCTTCTACCTCTGCACTCTCTCCATTTACAGCTCCAGCCATTGCTGTGGGCCGCCATGGATCTAACATGTGCTGGCTGCCACTGGAGCTCAGGTGTACCTGGCTACACAGCTACTGATGTTCTACCAGAGGTTGCTCCAGTGGGACTGGTGGCAGCTGGGAAGGTCTGGTCACTCAGAACAAAGGCCAGCATCCACTGCATATTCTCCCTAAGGAAATGACCTGTCTGAGGCAGTCAGTGAACTGGGGAGTTTCCTAAAGGGACTCATACAAAGGGAAAAAAAAATATTTATTTTATCCCGAGATCACGATTTCTACACTACATTACACAAACACCACAAGCCACACAGGTAACCAGGGTACTACTGCAGCATAAAGATCAATGAAAAACAATGAAGCAAGAATATATTGGTCTCTGCTTGAGAAGTGGCACGCTTACCTGTCTTCTGCGGAGTGTGCACAGAAGTCTCCTTATTCTTGCAGGTGGGAAGAGACACCTGGGGTTTATTAACTAGAGATAAATGACAACGATTTCTCAGTTACGGCATACTTCAAGAATAAAATGGTCATGCTCTTGTAGACCCAGGAGCTAACACAGCTTGAATTTAGTTTCATTTAACACTGCCAGAATCACAGACTTCCATATACTCTTTTTTTCAAACCATATGTTGAATGGGGTTACAGAAACACCCTTTAAGCTCAAAAAAGCCTCAGGCATAACGTGGAAAAACAAACTAGCACACAGTCATGCTGCATGAACCACTGTGAGCGGGTCCTCCCACGCATTACAGCCCCATCCTCACACAAAAACTGGGCCATTGAACAAGAGATCTGTCCAAGACATCCCTCCTCTGTAGGGAAGCATCCTTAGAAACCAGGCACCTCTATAAAAGAGTTTATCATAACGTATTCTGACTCTGCATGACTTCTCTACCTGCTAGTTTAAAACAGTAATTAACACAGTTAAATTAGAAAACAAGAGATGACAGTCATATATCAGACTGCTTGTCTAGTCTATGCCCTCAATCTTCACCTGTGCACCACCCTCATCTGCAAATAACTAATTTTCATGTAGCTATAAGCGGGTTATGTATGATTAGCAAACTTTGGCCCGCAGGGAGAACAGGGGTGATGTCAGCTGGAACTGCAACAAAAACTGGATAGAAAGTTAGTTCGTTCAGGTTTTATGCATGCCTTGGAGCTTAAGGGATGCACTTTATGAATTAGATTCATTCTGTGGTTTAAGAAGTGAATTGAGCGCTGGAGGGGAGAAAAAAGAGAAACCAGCACGCACGGCTCAGGGCCAGCCTGCGCAAGCACTCGCCGGGCAGGCGGCTCGGCCACCGGTTTACACCACCTCCCGTCCGGCCCCCCCGGAGCCCCGGCCCCGCCGGGCTGAGGCGAGCGGCGGAGCCCCGCGCCGCGCCGCGCCTCGCCTCACGCAGACCCTACCTGGCGCCTCGGCCCCGCCGGCCCGCCCCGCCTCCTGGAAGCGGAACGAAAGGAGAGCGGTTACCCACGGCCCGGACCTCTGGCCCCGCTCGCCCGCCCCACCGCCCGCCCGCCCGCCTCACCTGCGCGGCGTCGCCGTCGGCGGGCAGCTCGGTGACGAGCAGCGACAGCCGCCCTCTGGGTCCCCAGTCGAGCTCGTGGACCGGCCGGTCGAGCACCCGCTGCCTCACTGCCAACACAGCAGGCACCGGTGAGGGGAGGGCGGCCGCCGCCGCCCTCACCTCCCCCCCCCGCAACGCGGGCAGCGACCACGAACGCCGCCCTCACCGCGCCCCGGCCCCTCACCCTCAGGGTGGGCGAAGCAGACGAGGAGGTGCCCGGCCCCGGCCCCGGCCCCGCTCCCGGCCCGCAGCTCGCACTCGCCGCCCCCCGAGCGCTTCTGGCTCTGGAAGTAGCAGAGCAGCTTCTTCCTCAGGGCGGGCGGCGGCTCGGCGGCACCCCAGTCGCCGCGCACCAGCAGCGGGAAGGCGCCCGGCCGCTGCCCCGCCATGGCCGCCTCTGCGCCTGCCCTCACCCCGCCGCTTTCGGTTTCTTTTCCTCAGCGAGGAAACAAGCGGCGCTGGGCCCCGCCCCGAGCCGGGGGCGGGCGGCCCCGCGGGCCTCGACGGAGGCGCCGGTTCCCCGGCCTGGGTTACACCGGCCGTTCTGCCTCAGGAGGTGGTGAACGCGGCGTACCAGAGGCCTTGTTTACAAATACAGCGGTTTTCAATTCCTGATCTTACAGTGGTTAGAACTGGGTCATACAGACCTCGCTCTCCCTGCGTTACGCTTTCAAATCAAATCGTGACACAAAGTAAAATTACACATTTCCATCATTCCCCATCTGAAGTACCTCTGCAACTGTGCAAAATTGCACTGAAAGAGTGTTTTCCTCAGACCAACATCTCAGCTGGCTGAGGCACTGTCAACTGAGTGCTCAGGACTGCCCCACATGAAGTTAGTTTTCAGCTATTTATTGCTGTGTATTTTACTAACGTGCCCAAATATGAGAATAAAATAGCAGATAAATGAAAAATTTCCCCCCTAACTTCACTGGAACTTCATTGAGGAAAAGGGTAACAACCCAATGTCATTAAATATGATAAGCATGGGTGAATGTCAGCTAAACATAGCTGTCGTCAGACAGGCTGCTGAGGAGACCCATGGGCATGCCTTTGTTTCTTGGTGTGTGATTAATCTTTCATTTCCTAATGCACAGTCCTCTCAACAGTTAGCCCAGGTACATGCCCTCCGCCCTGCTTGAACCCAGGCGAAATACCCAGCTTTGACTGGAAATCAGGTAGACTTATTCCTAAACTGTACAGCTACGATTAGAAAAAAAAAAAAAAAAAAAAAAAAAAAAAGAGGTGGCATGGGGTCCAAATCACCTCAAATCATGGCATTGCAGGGTAGCTCCTAAATTAAAAAAAAAAAATACAATTATATGTATCTAAAACAGGAGAAACACTTGTACAGAAGAATGCAGAACTAAGCAGATGGTATTTTTGTATTTTATTAGTTATATTCAATAGCCTAACACAAATGGTTTAACTCACAATTATGGCTGCGTTAAGTGAAAGCTATTTGTTTAACACCACCACAAAAGTAATTAGCAGCCTTGTTAGTGCAGAGTAGCAACAGTATCTTTATAATATAATTTAACCATATATTGGAAGCAATGAGAAGAATAACTTTTCATAGTTGCAAAGCTGACTTAAAAGTTGTAATTAAGCTTAAACATGATGGAAGGCACAGAACCAGGACCCCATTATCTGAGATGGCCACAGGCACTGTTACTTTCCATTTGCTTAAACACAGCTCTGAGCATTCAGCACTTCTGCAGGCTTAAAAATACAGCAGCATCCACGTACTCCCTAATACATTATCCATACTAATTCCATGTTTAAGACCAAAACCCCTAATGCCATTTCTACACCGAAAAGGAAAAGAAGCAAAAGATCATAGTTCGATCACAGCTGATACTGTAACATCTACATAAAAATTTTCCAGCAGATGGGTTAAGTGATGCTATCCATGAGGACAGATGTAATAACACAAAGCTAAAGCAAGCATTGGATTGAGTAAAAGCTAGTAGTGGACCTATTGGTTTTTGTGGTCAGATATGTGGGCAAAAGTGTAGATCAGAGTCCCTGGTAAAATGAGATAACACAGTTTGATATTCAACAAGTACTGTCTTCTGTAAAGATTACTCATAGAGAGAAGTATTATTCAAGGAAGTAAATGATGTGTAAAGAATAGATATCATTTGATGAAAAAGATTACTTTTCTTAGCTGTCTGCAAAATACCAAGTGATTAACTTCTTTCTTCTTGGTCCTTGAATAGTAAATTAACTGGTACATGTTCAGTTATTACACTTAAGAGATGACAGTTGATAAATTTCTTTATTCAATTCCTCTTGCTTTCAATTCCGATCGAACTCGCTGAAGATAATCAGGATCAGGGTAACCAAAACTAGGAGAAGAAGAAAAGAATTGTTTGGGCTACTTCTACAATGAAGCACTTAACAGTTCTACAGAACCTTCTCATGAAAATCTCCTAAAACACTTTACAAATTGTATGAACTTACTTCTTTATAGAGAAAACAGGCACTATTTTGCAAGTCAGAGAGGTGGTATAGACAGGGTAAAGCTAAAAACTTAAGGAGCTGCTGAATTTGGTTGGCCAAACTGACACTAAAAACTTGATTTTCAAAGCTGCCTGCTGTCTCACTTGAAAATGAGAGGGCGCTTGGGTAGGCACCTTTCTAAAAATCAGACCTGAAGCGTATCCAAGTGAGCATTCAAAGCATGAATATAATGGCACCTCTGGATTTTAAGTAGTGCATCACCAAAAGTGTGTACGAAGCAAGTGATAACTAGGGAGAGTATTTGGGCAGAGGGGGGTGATAAAGTAAATGAGGTACATTTTGCTCTTTTATGATCCTAGCCCAGGAAGGAGGATCTAGACACAGATCTTCAGAACTTGCAGGAAGACACCCCTGAGAGGCTGCAACAAGCTTGAAAGGACTGTTGTCTCTGCAAGGTTTTTTCCAGGAGCCAAACAGTTTACTGATATAATCTGTAGTTAATCATATCGTTAAGAATGGTCAATCGTATGTGCATTAAGCAGTGGAATGTAGTGATCCTGACCAGAAGACCATTATGCATTGAGAAACTGGTGATCCACATGACAGTTAAGCAGGGCAGGCCCAGGCCTGTGCCATGCTGGGCCATGCTGCACGTTCAGCGTGGCTTTCGGGCCTGTGTCATGCTGTGACATCCCGTGGCTGCATGACAGGCTTGGCCAGCTCACTCCAAGAGACATGCTGCCGGCAGCTCCCACTCAGTACTGGTGATTACACCACCTGCGTGTCCTTGCCTTTATCTAGAGCTGCAGCAAGTCCCCAAGAAATGCTGAATAGAGTTGTCTGTTACTAAGAAAATCCTCTAATAGCTTGAATGACCAAAATGGGGTAAACCCTTTCTATGGACGGGGTCAGCATGGAATCTTGTGCTGTGATTGGAGGCCCACTGAATGCTGTGCAACTCGGGGTTCCTAGTATCTAAAAGCACATAACCATACTGATACTACAATCGCTTTCTTCCTGCTGTTAGTTCTAATAAGTAGAACTTCCAATCATATTTTACAGAGTCTGAGTGCCGTCTTTACTGGGATCATAATAGACCAGCACCTCCTGGTGAAAACCAGCAGGTAACAGAAGAGGCTGAGATCAGGAGTCCAACCTTAGCTGCTATCAAGAGCTTGCTGTCCTGTCTTGTACTAGTAGTTTATAATGAGAGCAGTTATTAACTGAGTAGGTGCTTTACACAACTCACTGGTGAATGAGTGGCCCGAAGGGCAACAGAACACTAAACTCATTCTTGTTCCAACTGTCCAAACTGGTGAAGGTGATTCAAGTCTGGATGTATAGAGCAGTCTGCAATCCCTTTTTAGTGACAAAATCCAAAAGCTCTAATATGGAAAATATTCAGGGTAGCCTTCCTGACATATCTGAGTAGCAATAAAATTACATAAAGAAAAGGCTACTTACTTGGTAGGTCCTCCAATTCTGGAAGTTTTGTGGTGAATATCGTTCCATGTGATGACACCTTGTGCACCAGTAGTACGTGACTGCCCCACCGTAAAAATCAGTTTTTGGTTAAAGGCTCTTCTGAGGAGCTGCAGAATTTCTCGCCCCTCCTTACTGTCAGGTAAATATGCCATTCGAGAAGTTCCATCATAAGGTTTCCCTGGGTTTGGATGGTTGCTCTGTTTTGTAGAAAAACAAAACAAAAACACACTCTATATCATAAATGCTTTGAAAGCATGAAAATTACACATCCCAGCTTTCGCAATACTTTTTATCCTGTCTTTGATTCGGAAGGACATAGCATGACTCATTAGATAATTTCTTTCATAAAAGTTTCGTTCATATTTTCTTGTTATCACTCATGCATCCATTGTTTTCTTCTTTGCTCTCCCAAATGCATGTCACCCCACCCCCGACTTTCACGTATCTCATCTTCAGTCCTAGTTGTGACTCTAAGCACATAACATAAGCTGATTTCTCACCTGGAAAGCTTACAAGCCAGCTTGCTATTCGTTTTTGTCCACTGGTGTCGGCAGCTAAGAGAATGCCTCAGAGAATCCTCATTATACTCACAGAATTTTGTTTACATGATACTGCTCCATAGATTTCAGTTCAGTTATTCCCAACGTACAAATTAAAGACAGGTAGCTCTGTCCTGGTGCATATAAAATGGAGGGCTACTATTTGACTATTTATTTCCTACTATATTACTTAATTGCACCGAAAATTACTATATTAAATACTTGCACGCTTGTACAGAAAGAAATATATCTCCTGGACATGCGTTAAAAAGATGGCAAAATAGTTAATTTTATATTAAATATTGGTTTTGTTGTGGGAAAAATATATTTTCTTGAATCTTTAAATATACTTACAGTTTGAACACCACCATGCATCTTATATGTAATCTCAATAGTACCACAAGTGGGATAACCAGGGAGAGATGAAGACAGCGTTCTAGTTGACATTGTTCCCTCTGGTTGGTCTCCTTTCATGAGTCCGTAGAAGGTACCACAAACCGGACAACTTTGCTTGTAAGTCATGGCCTGATTGATGCAACTTTTGCAAAATGCATGATTGCACTTTCTCAGTATTTCTTTATTCTTAATTCTCTCCATGCAAATTGGACATACATCTTTGTTGTCTTCTTTTGTCTTTGCCTTAACCTGTCCTTCAGAAGAAAGATTATTCTTTTGCTTGCCATTGTATTTCTTCTCAGATGTTCCTGTAGCTTCTTGATAGCTGAGATTAGAGGATGGTGGTGCCCTATTTTTAGTTTGTGTTGAGTCTCCAGTGTCAAGAAGGTTTATAATGTGCTTTTCAGCAGCATAAAGGTGGTCTGGTAAACCACTTAAGATGAAATGGTCTTCCTTCTTTGTAAGTTTTACATGCAGATTTTCCAATAGTTTTCCATTAAGTAGCATATCTAATCTTTTCTTCTGATCTTCTGAAAGCTCTGAGCTGATGAGTTTTTCTCTTAACCTTGCAGAGGCACTTTGAAATGCACTAATGAAACTTTCAGTAGCATGTGAAGACATATCAAAAGTTTTGATCCTAGGTGTAAATATTAAGAGCATCTTCTGGGCATGCAAATTGTCTTTCTTTTCGATTACTGTATCAAATTTGTCTTTAATGTCTTCAATTTCTTTGTTTAATACTGTTTCCAGTAATTTAAACACAGAAACATCAACTTCAATTCCATTCCTGTATTTGTACAGCTCAGATGATATTTTTATATTCTTTACAACTTGGCTGTTCTCACTTTCCTCTGCTAGAAATTTTTTGGCAGCTAAAATCTCACTCTCTGGACCACGGAGGAGCAACTGATTCCCTTCCTCTTTGGCAAGAAGATTACTAAACTTAGCATTTAATTTCATTATTGTCTCGCTTAATGTGAAACTGTTTGTTATGGGAATTTTTTCCTGCTTCAGATCTTCTACACTTCTCTGAAAAGTTCTGATAAAAAAATCATTAGCTCCTTGTATTGATGCAGGACTTTTATCAGCAGTTAACCATACTGATGTGGTTCCATTGTAATGATCTTCTCTTCTTATACACACTCCAAAACGTTCACGTAGTACTTTGATTTGTTCTTTGCAGGTATGACTGAAATATTCATAGAGAGCTGACGGAACTGTAATCTCATTCGTTTCTTCAGTATTCAGAACATTTTCATCTTTCAAACTATTCTTTGTTTCAGAATGTGAAAAATCATGGTTTGGGTCACTGCCTTCAAGAATATCCTTAAAGTAGTGATAAGCTTTTTTGATATCTGTAAAATCTCCCGTCAATTTCTCAGAGCCAGGATTTCCTTCTCTTTTTAAATTTGGACATATAATGGTAATTTTCTCCCTTTGCTGGTCAGTGAACATACTCGTATTCAATGTTGCAGATACTGTAAGAAATATCTAAAAAGGAGACAAGAAAGTATTAATTATTGGTGTTTTTTTTCTAAAGTTCCCTGCTTGCTGCTTCTATATTTTGAGCAAGGAAAAGCTCTGCACGTGTCAGTCGGGCCAGATTACTATAGACACATTTGCACACAGTGTTTCTTTTATGTCATGTATACCGACATTACACACATGTAATTAAAGCAACCTGCTTCTAAGTAAGCAGAAAAATTAAATTTGTTAATGTCATCAGCATTTCAGGAACAAAGACAGTAACTTTGCTACTTAGTTTGAGACTGTGACCAGTACCCTCTAGTAATATGGTTAGCAGAACTAACATCATTTTTTGTTAGGCAAATGGTCATTCTCTGTGACTGAGTTGGTCACGTATTAGTGCCTTTTCCCCTCGGTATCAGGCCCTGAAGGTCCTGCACACCAGGAAGACAAAGCAAACAGATTTCTTCTTCCCCTCCCTATTGTCCTCAAGGTTCCTGGGCACCAGGCCAACTACACCCCTCCTTACCGGCCTTGAAGGTCCGCGTAACTGCACAAAATCAAGCAGTTACAAGTCCTAAGTTGGAACCTGGACCACAACTGCTGCTGGACAGTGAGACCAATGATCCCCAGTGGTCAGGGACACCTCCACCATCTTCTGCTTCGTCCAAGGACTGAGTGAATGACTCATATTCTTGTATGTGTTTTTCTAGTCTAGATTATGATTGTTATATTGATATGGCAAGCCAAGTATTAAGATTTTACATGATCTGCAGTGGGTCCAGGTAATTAGAAACCATAAACTAAGCTATGCTATAAAATTCAGTACTTCACTACTTATAAAATTGTACTACACTGATTCTACTTGTAGAAATCATATGCTATTCTGATCATTAATTTTATGCTATGCTAATCACAAAATCCTGCTAAAAAACCCCAAAGTTTTAACTGTAACTACAACTTAGGGCCATCATCATTCTGCCAAGGATCCCCAGAAGAACTTGTCTGTCCCCTTAGTGCCAGGTGACAGAGACACACCATGTTTTAAGAGCACACATAACCTATATTACACTGTTCTTTAACTATATTAGACTTTATAGTTTTCTCTTATTATCTTTCTTTTTAAAATTCCCCGAAGTCATGCTTTAGTAGCTCAGGATTAAGACAGAAAATAGGATTCTGAAAAATAATAACAAACATATTCACATCTCTACTTTGCACAGACAGGCTAGGGAACTTTGCAGTATACTGTTACAGACGTCAGATAACCACTACGTTAGCACATGCTATAGCTCAAAAGCTACATCTATGCTACTACACAGAACAGGGTAAACCCTCTGGGCCAGATATCAGTGTCTTGGAAGAGCCACATCTACATCATGTAACATAGCCTGATCCTACCCCACGTCCCTAACACACAGCTGATCTTTTATTTTCTGCGTAACTTTTAGTTTGAAGTGTCTGAAACAGTGTTTGCTAGGCTAAATTCCATCAGAGCAATTTTTTTAACAGAGATAAGGGATGGAAGTAATTAGGGCTGTCTGAAGGTACAAAACATGCTAAAATAATGTTAGAGGTCTGCATAGCAGGAAGGGATCCAAACATCGTACAATTTTACTGCCTTTTGGGAGTAATCCTTGGTGCATACTATCCCCTGAAACTGGCCAGGGTGCTGCTTTGTGGAGTAATGGTTGGCATGTGCAAAAACCACGCTGGGGAACTTGGTGCCTGTTAACATGTCTGGATGACCTGTGGCCCAGCACTCAAAAGTTACTCGTCCTCATTTTCTTGACTAAGATAATGTAACTGACATTTACTTGGCATGAAATACTGAAGTGCAACATAAAGCAATGCAAAGTCCTTGTGAAACTACAATCGGGGCAGGTCATGACGCTGCTTGTTACTGCTCTTCCTGACGTACCTTTTTGGTAATGACTTCCCTTGCCATGTCTCCAAGGCCTCTGGCTGCCTGCTGCTCCATGGACCTTTGTGGAGGTGGGGAAGAGCTGGAAGGGATGGAATTTCTAGGGGAGGCCTGCTCTGTAAACGAGCTCCTGCTCAGGTCCCCTTGTCCCGCCTCGATGACTATCTTCAGGCGTCTGGCACCAATGTCCAAGGCATGGTCTGCGCGGGATTCCACACTCTTCTTATCTGCAGCAATTCAGGGACTGGTAGTTATAAGGCTGATAAAGTTACCTGAAAACTCGACGGCTAGGTGGGGCCACGGACACCACCCACTCTCCCCTTGCCCGCACACTGCCCAAGGCCGCAAGATGGTGCCGTCGGCGGCCATTTCCCGCCCCCCTCACACGGCTGCGGGCCTTCCGTGCGAACGGCACCCCCCGGGGTTCAACCGCCCCCTCAGCGCCGAGCCGCGGGTCCCGCCGCCGGCAGAGCCGCCCCAGCCCCTCTTCTCCCTCGTCCCCGTACCTCGCTCCTGCTGGAAGTGCACCCAGTAAGTGCCGGGCTCGGGGCCCACCCGCACCTCGCACTCGCCGCCCCCCGACCGCTTCCCTGACTGGAAGTAGCTCTGGAGCTTCAGCATCGGCTTCTCGCCGGCGTCGGGCGCGGGGCAGAGCCGCACCAGCAGCGGCGCCGCCGCCATCATGCCCGCCGCTCCCCGCTTTCGCTTTCGTTTCCCGCTCCGCCGTTCGGGGCCGCGGTTCCCCGCCCCGCGCCCCGTTCCAGCTCCCAGCGCTGAGGGGGGGAGACGGCCGCGCCGCGCCGGTTCATGGGGATCTTCCAGGTACCAGAGCGGGGCTGGGGGCCCGAGGGGACGGCGTTTGCTCCGCCGCGGTGGGAGGCAGCGCTCTCACGGGCCCGGGGACCTGCGGCTGGAAGTGCCCCTGCGCGCCGGGCTGGGCCGGGCCGGGCCGGGCTTCCCGGGGCCGGCGGGGCTCGGGCACTGGGCAGAGAGGGGAGCGCTGCTCTCTGAAGCGACGCTCGGGATGAGGTAAAATTTCTCTGCTTCTCACCCGGTCAGCTGGAGCTAGAGTCAGCTCTGGGTAACTTCACCAGCAGCGGTCCCGCCGCCCTCATTTCAGCTTTGGGTAACATTAGAAATATTAGAAATAAATATTAGAAAACTTCACGCAGATTTTTGAAAACGTGGTGCTGCCGGTTTTGCTTGAAACAGAACTGCTCCTGTAGGAACGCAGCCCATCAAGCAGTAACATCTATTTTCTCTTTCTTGTTTTTCTTTCGTTTTTTTTGGTTTTTGTTTTTTTTTTTTTTTTTTTTTTTTTTTTTACAATAGAGTTACAGCCCAGAGACCTCGGAAGAGAAAAACAGTTTCGGTAAGTCTCTCAGCCATCTGAAAAGTGCATTCTTCTATTTAATTTGAAAACTGTAAGCTACAGCCAGCAAGCAGGAAAACATCAACGTGGAACAGCCACAAGCAGTGTAAGTGCAAGACATTAGACTCTTTTTACAAGCAGGTAGCATACCCCAGAGGAAAGTTTGATTAAACACATACAAGTTGATTTACACTAATTAGCATAACTACTGCATATAGTACTGCTGACATCTGCCAGGAGAGGGCTGTATAGCCATAGTGGTAATATAAAAACTGTCCCAATCTTTGCCATTATTTTTGTTCCCTAAAAAAAGTGGTGTAAAAAGTCCTTCTGAATTCTTAAGTTCCATGCAAGGAACATACTTGCTTGTGGGTTTTAAATGCAGACCAAAGAAGAGCCACAGAATTAAAGACAAAGGTCAGCATAAGATCTGTTTCAGCTGGATCTCCGTGGCACCGTTAAATGAGCATGTTCATTTGCTAGTATAGCTGTGAGTCACTGCCTCTGCAAAAACCTGGCATGCTCACCCTTGGACCTTGCTGGAAATCAGTAACAAAATGCTAAGAATGCCCTGGACATGACGGAGACAGGCTTCAGCCATCTCAGCAAAACAAACTCAGAGGAGGAGAATTGGTGGTTTCTGCTTTTACAAGCATTTTGAAGCCCTGGTTATGGCGTGGCTTTCCACATTTGCTTTCTCAGCTGCGGTTTTAGTGGCAAATGCAGCACAGCATCACAGTGGCACTGCAGCCAGTTAACAAAGCCCTGTAACAGCATATGTTTCAAAGACATTCCTCTCACACTTGTCTGCTCCTTTTTCCTCCTCACCATTTATTCTCATCCCGTTCAGTTGTGCTGCTACATCAGTCCGGGAGGTTGGTGCTCTAAATTAAGTTTTGTGGTATGGGGTTTTGTTTGTTTTTTAATTCTGATTCATTTAAGAATATGTCCCCGGTGTGGTTGTGTTAGCTTAGCGGTGAGGACGATGAATAGCAGGAAAGAGAGAACAAGTAGCAGGAGGAGACACACCTTAACCAAGCTCCCTCCTCAGGTAAACAGAAAGGCAAACCCAAGCCCTCAAGTCACCACAGGCTCAGTGATACTGTTGTCATCTTTTAGTACCTTTCTTTGCTTAGTTGGACTTTCTCAGCCTATGAAAAAGGCAGAGAGAAGATGAGGCTGTGCCAAAAAATATTGTTAAGTAATGACAGTAGGATAAAACTGAGAGCTATAAACCACACTTCTATATAAAAAGCAATGTTTTGACAGTAATATCTTGGATTTCACTTTATATTATTCTGTGTTCTAGGGCCAAGCATGGTAATGGATGAGGACAACTTGATGATCCCCATCAATAAAGATGCCTATGAGGTTCTTAAGAAAAGAGAGGACTGTCTAAGCAATCATATCTATAAAAAGTTTGCTTGTACATTGACCTTCAAAAGTACAAAGAGCACTGTTGAAGTATACAGGAAAAAACTAAAGGGAATTGACATTTGTGTTTGTAAGGATGATCTCACAAGGCACAAGGCTGATGCTTTGGTGAATGCAGCCAATGAATATCTAAATCATTCAGGAGGCCTTGCTTTAGCCCTTGTGAGTGCTGGAGGGCCAGAAATACAAGAGCAAAGCAATCTTTATATTCAGAAGTATGGAAAACTCACAGCTGGTGAAGTAGCAGTGACAGGTGGAGGGAAGCTTCCTTGTAAGAAAATTATTCATGCAGTTGGTCCGATGTGGACTGTTAGTGAAAAGGAAAGATGTTGTCACCTACTTCAGAAGGCTATTGTGAATGTTCTGAAGTACGTTAGTGCTCCAGAAAATACTATAAAGTCTGTGGCTATACCAGCAGTGAGCTCAGGTATTTTTGGCTTCCCAGTCAGTTTGTGTGCTCAAGTGATTGTAATGACTATAAAGGAATTTGTTGAGGCAAGTCCACCAAGCTGTCTCAGTGAAATCCGCCTGGTGAACATTTGTGAGCCTACAGTTGCAGAAATGAAGAAGGCCTGTGAAACGTTTCTGGATGATACCAGTTCACTTTCAGCTTTGCCAAGCCAGCCTTCAGCTTTCTTGATAGAGGGGGGCCTTCGTTTGCGCATCATAAAAGGACTCCTAGAAGAGCAGAAGGTAAGTCTATCCCATAATGTGTTGAACATGGAGTTGCCTCCAAGTCTTTGCAGGATTTGGAGCCCAAGAGTTCAGAACACATATTGTATCGATCCACTAAACAGTTATCTTCTCATCCTGATGAGAATTTGCAAATGGTAAATAAATTATAGCAGCAAGGAGTTGGTTTATTTTCTAAACAAGTACTAAACATTAGAACATTTTTACTTTTTTGTATACATGCTTGTTATGGTATAATAGGAAGCAGCTAAAGATTGGAGGATTAATATTAATATATCCCTATGTTAATGTTTATCTTCTTATTATAACATCATGGGAGTTCACATTTTATCATGCGTTCCCTTGAAGTCTACTATTATTTTTTGCCTTGTTTTTTTCATGTAATGTATGTTCTCCTAGATGCCACTATTGGAGTTATTCAGCACACACTGACACATCTGAAAATAACTGATACAGATGACGTGCACCTTATCTTTACACAGTGTATCATTTAAATTAATTAATTTAACTATTTAATTAGAAAATTTGATGCAAAATATATGAGCTTAATCATAGTAATCCAACAAAGCTCTTAGACTGGAAGCTACATCACGGGAACAGCATTTCCTTTTAGCAAACAGTGCGTCTTTAAAAAAATCCTAACTTTTATTTTAAAGAAGTATCTTAATTGAATAGGAAGTTCATTTTTTTGATGTGAGAGAAAAGAATTGCAAAGTTGACATTGTGGGGAATTTTATTAACCAGTTCTGCAGCACTGAAAGATACCACATGCCTTCAAGACTATGAGGAAAATATGCTCCAAGGTCTTGTATCTTTAGATGATCTTCAGCAATTAAAGTTAGAACAATGCTGTTTTCAGCATTGCGTAAACAAGTTTTTTGCATTTTACTTACTTAATTTGAAATACAGAAGGCCTACTACAGGAATCTACTGTTTCCGCTGGGAATTGGAAACAACCATAGCTTTCAGTTCCCCTGTGTGCAGTGACCCTGCTGGTTTGGTGATGAGTGTATGCTACCCTAAGGCGAGGAGCATGGGCTGGGGTAACAGACATAGCCATAGTTCTCTCCGGCTCATTGATAACTGGCTGCAGAATTGCATTTGATGAGGCGTGTACGTGTCACTTCTATAGCTATAGTAATAATTCTGTTGAATACACTCTGGTGACTTGAACAGGTCTTACGTATGCTGTTGGCTTCTGAAAAAAATGTATGCATCTACTACCACTAGGAGGTGGATACTTTGATGTATTCCAACACTGCCCTTAGCACTAAGAGAACCTTTCAAACAGCTGATCTGCTGCAGTCAGGCTTTTTAAAAGGCATCTTTCCTAGAAAGTGTTCTCTACAGTAGCAAAGCTTGCAAATAGTAAACTTGAGGTATGCTGAAACTTTGCGGTCTTTTCTTTCAGACTACAGCTATTGTTAATTCTGTGTCTGTGAATGGCAAGCCTGATTCTCCAGTTTCAAAACAACTGCTGCAAAAAGCGGGTCCAGCTCTTCAGGATGAACTTCAGTTTCGTCAGAGATATTCATCATTTTATAAGAAACTCATAGTAACAGAAGGGTATAACCTGCCCTGTAAGCTTATACTGCACATTATATGGCGGCAAGAGAGCCACTGGATGTTACTGTGTGAGGTAATGATCAGTTAGGTTGTATTTTAATAGATTTTCATGTTGAGTGATGTGAGGATTAAAACACTTGTTTTTCCTGCAGGAATTAAAAGATGCAGTGGCAAAGTGCCTGCATTACCTTCAGGACTGTCAGTCTCCCTCAGTTTCTTTTCCAGGAAATGGGAGTTGGTCGTTAATGCTGCCTGTTGATATAGTGGCAGCGATCATGATTGAAGAGGTTTTAAGCTTTGCCAGGGCACACCCTGAGAAGAAGATAGATGTGCAGTTTGTCTTCTGTCCCGATGACAATGATGCCTATCAGGTAACAAACTTGTCAACTATCAATACAGAAAACATAAAACTGTAAAAATATTCCCATAGATGACTACAAATTAAGATAATCTGAATTCTGTACTACTTTTGTGAGAAGCAGATCCCTGTATAAAACTATTTGTCTCATTAACAGATATTATTAATCTTTACAAATGTTTATTTTCTCTTCACTAAACCATAAGTCTTTACCCTGTGGTCTAATAACAAGGGGAGGGAGCTCTGAAATTCTCATGACTGTCAGTGAATTTATAAGAAAGAATCTACCCTTAACTCATTAGGGAATAAACTTATTCCTCCTCAGGAAATTTCTTTAGCCATTTTTTTTTTTCGTATGAAGTTCCTAGGGCAAAAGACCATCAACACATTATATGACCTAACACGATAGAAGGGTTGTGGACAGACAGTGGATAACTTCAACTGCAGTGTGCCATTTTCCACCTTTTGAATACGTGGCAGATGTGATAAATACACAACTATTTTAGATAGTCATCTATTATAAAAGTACAGAGTTTGCTTTTGTTCCCATTTAACGTCAACCATGCATTCTTTCAACAGGTGCAAGAACTAGGTGGAGCAGGGTTAGTACTAGATGTTTTTAAGGTCCTTCCCAATCCAAACTGTTCTATGACTCTAAAATCAGATCCATGTTCTGTAACAGTCCCATGAACTCCAAAGGAAGCTGCAGGACAGCTGTGTGCTCATCACTTAATCCCCTGATGATCAGGGCACAGCAGAAACTGTTTGCTGAAAAAAGAAGGAAAGGCAATTTTCCAGATGCCAATTCCACTGCCTAGCAGAGTAGTGCTTCTCAGAGGCTTTCCATGTGTGATCATTAAGAGGAGCTTTGGGGTCAAGGCAGGGGAATAGTCTGGGTTTTAAAAGTGAGTAAGGATTCATCAGCATTAAACTGCAAGTAATGAACATCTTTATTTACTGCGGTTCCCTGAGTTCTGGATATGTTATAACCACAAGGAGTTGGTAAAGGTGCCATTCAGTGTATAAGGTATCTTACCTTAGCAGATGTAGAACAGGAATATATTTGATAGTGTCAGGAGTAAAATTTTGTGAAAAGGTGACAAATGGCAGCTGTTAACAATTTCAGAATTTGAGGGGGGGTGGGGGTGGGGGATGTGGTATAACTACAGCTGTAAACTGCTTATTAACAGAGTTTTAAAGAGACAAATTGCATACTTGATAACAGAGGTTGCAAACTACTCCTAAACTTTTCTCTTTCAAGGTTTTCCAGAGAAAATTTTACTCAGCAGTACAAAAACTGGAAAAAAAGCAGTATTACAGTGGAAGTGATCATTTGAGTAAGTAATAAACAGAAGGGGCATCTCAGGTAAATGAGCACTCCAGATTTGAGAATCTGAAATCACATTCCTTCAAAAAGAACTTTGTGTATGTGTGTTGGGGAAAGCGGGAGGCAAAAAATAGTGAGTGCTTTGCATTTTTACATTAATAGGAATGGAACCGGTCAGTCCCTTACAAGATTTTCAAGCATAAAGATCATTATCAGTGCCTAATTTGTTGAAAGTCATTTAGTGGAAGGCAAATAAATTCTGCATATGTATTTTGTTTTGTTTTGTTTTTCCTGGGAACCTTACCTCCTGGTTTGTAATCTCTTTTTTTTGAGTGTACCAGAAGAGTAGTGTGTTTCTTGCCTTGTACGTCTTGGATTACATATAGGAATTTGTGACAGCACTTGAAAGCTCTTTACGCTTCCAATGCACTTGTATAAAAAAAAAAAATCTTTTTTTCCAGCTACAGGGTCAGGCAGTCAAAGTGTAAAAGAGAGTGCAAAGAGCGAACCAGCTATTGAACTCAGAGGGAAAACATACAGAGCATTGGAAGCAGCAGCATCATGGATACAAAGCATGGTACAAATTCAGGAAAGTCACTGTGCTACTATTGAAAACAACTACATTTTTAGCCTTGGTAAAAAAGAGTTCGCAGAACTATCCCGAAAGCAGCGTTCTGACGTATGTGTGTCAGAAGAAGTGAGAGGTGGAAAAGCCAGACTGGAATTTCAGGGCCCTCCTGATGCCGTGATTGATGCAGTGCTCGCAACTGAAAAATTACTACTTCGTATGCAAGAGAAGAGTACAGCTGAACAACAACTGCTGTGTTTAATGAGTATGTAAAGTAAATAAGTGCCTAAATGAGGTCAAGTGTGAAGCAACGTATACCTATGTATTGCTGAGAGTGGGGAGACACTTTTCAGTTCACACACATACTAAGCATTGCTTTAATTACCAACATTGCTGTACTTTCATCATATGAGCCCCTGTAAGATGTTTTGTTAGCTCTGCTAACTTGGCAGTATTTCTGGTAGGACAGTTTGTACAGGGGCTGCACGTTGTCGTACAGCCAGCTGTAATTCTGGCTTCCTCCAGGACTGCTTCACTTTAAAGCCTGGCCACTGGAGACTTACAACATTTGCACTTAATTAACACATACCTCTGCTGACCTCTTGCTAGCTACAGCTGGAACACTGTTGCAGGACCCACCAATGGCGTTGTTCTGCAGAGCCCTTGGCTTTCATTAACAGTTGATAAAACTAGTGGTGTTACAGAAAGCTACCAAGTGATCCATTTTTCCTCGTGTTCATATAGTCATTCAATATAGATACCATTATATGAAAGTTGGGCTGTGGAGAGATGTAATAGAAAAGATAAATTCCTTTTCTTTGGTTCCCTCTCTCTCTGGTTTAATAAATGTAGAAAAAATGAATATATACATATGTAATATATATAAAATATATATCAGATATAGATATATCAGTCCCTCTCAACATTAGCCTCTGGCATTATTTCAGAGACTATTTTTAGCATTCTTTGTTCTTAACTAAACTACCAAACTAAAGTATTGGATTCTTCCTCCTTGCCTTCGCTTCAGATATCGTGATATATGAAAATTTTACTACTCTGTTTGTATCCAGGCCAACCAGAAGGTCAGCTTTCAGAAAGACACCTTCACAAGACAGATATGACTAAATGTGTCCAGATTTCACTGGTGGAATCACACCTTCAGGAGTTTAAAGACAGACAGAAACAGTTTGAAAGAGCTGGGCTTCATGTTCTCAAGGTAAAGAGGGTATGCATGGAAAAACTAAGTATCAGCTGATACATTTGAACTAACATGTTTAACACACGTAAAAAACTCAGATGAACCATTTCAATAAAAAATTTTTAAAATTAAGATCAAATTGGCCTAATCCCTAAAGTAGATGTCATCTTTACTCCTAATGAAAAGTCTTTTAAACATAATGCAAATAATTACTCAAAAAGTGTGGTTGAATTCTGAGAAGTCATTTTAATTGTACTGTATGTTGTCTCTCACTTCATGCTTCAAACGTTCCTTTATAGGATTCTAGAGAAATACAAGACTGGTATGTTAGGATGAGTACAATATTCCAGGACCCTAGTGCAGTGTACCTGGTTTTTTAATTGTGAGCTGGACACCAAAAATTAGCAACTGAATTTGTCAGTTATGATCTGATTAGTGGTGTGTTGAAGCTGGGATCTTGCGTGGCTATCAGTGCTTTACTGAATGGGAGGAGGATGAGGCTGTGCACCACAGAAATAGAGAAGTTTGTAACCAGGGATCTGTGTGCCTAGCAGTGACAGTGGGTAACTGGAAACCAGACTGCCACGTGCAGGGTCGCCTTTCATACAAGAAAAGGTATTTAACATGGAAATAATAGTGAATACCAGCCAGATGAAAGCAAGTGCTTCTCGATCTGTGGAACTAACTTTGTTGAGTCTCAGTGCAAATGCTACATTAGAATTTAAAACAGTGCTGCACTGAGGATCAGTCGTAGCTCAATTAAATGACTTACGAGCAGAAGCTGGATTGTGCTTCAGCACCTGCTTGGTGTTCACTGAGCAGCCAGAAGTCTGGCGTGAGCAGGTCCCTGGTGCTGACTTGTGCCATGGGACTGCGAGTGGCCCCTGCGGAGTCAGGGACGCCAGCGAGGGCTGCGGCGTGGCCAGTTCACCTGAAGTGCTGCGTGGTGTTACGCCGCATGCAGCCACACTTTTGAGACACGAGCTCACATAAAGGCCCTCTTATCTGTGGACCTTTTTTCCCCCCCAAGAGCTGTGAAGTTTTGATCAACAAGAGCTGAGGTTCTCCACGCCTTACAGGACACTTTTTTACAAAACGAGGCTGTAAGCACCCACACATCTTAAACGCATGGTTGATAATCTGTTCAGCACAACTCAGGTATTGGAAATCAGTGTGCCAGGATATATTCCCACTGATTCCAGTGAGAGGCACAGGACAATGGCATGGTTCTTTTTCTGTGGATCAGTTGCACACTTCGGGTACTTTATTTACTACGTGGTCAATGCATATAAGCTAAATCAAAGGTTCGTACATTGAAAAACATAGCCTGAACAAGAACAGTTATGATTTCATGGGTATTGGTCTCTGTTTGCTTATAGTACATTACTGTTTATGTTACAGATTGAAAAGATACATAATCCTCTCTTACACGCTGCGTTCCAACAAATGAAAAAAAAAATAGAAGAAAAACAAGGTACATCCAAAATAACCCACAAGTTGTACCAGTGTGTTCCTGCTCACTTCTGTAGCTCCGTATGCCAATCTGGATTTCACAGGATGTACTCTCCACCAACAGGTAATAACTTCCTTTGGCATTTTTAGTGAAAATGAACAGTGACTGACTACTGGAGTTGGATTAAAATTGGAAAAAATGGCATTCATAAACAACAACTGGTTCGTACCCCCATTTAGAGTCATATGAGCTTACTTTTTTACCTACGGTAAAATTTTCCTGGTTTTCCTTCCTAAAACCGTAGAGTCAGTAAGGCTCTGGGAGGATAAGCCTGGATTCTGGCCTAGCCCAAACACTGCTCACAGAATTCCTAATACACACATAGTCCATCTCCAAGTTTTATTTTGTTGCATCACTTTTTAAAGTCAATGCCCGTTTTTACTTGCTGCAAACATGCATTCAGCAGCTTGATGCTTTTAAACATGCTCAAAGGAATCAGAGAGTAATTGAGGGTGGAAGGTACTTCTGAAGGTGATCTAGCCTGACTGCCTGCTCAACCCAGGTGTGATCAGAGACAGCAGATAGTCTGAGTGAGCACACAGCTGTTCCTACTGGAGTGCCCCTGGGAAGAAGGTGGTGGTGGCTATGAAATACTGTAGTAGACAGATGTTTTCAGAAATTGAAAGAATAAACATTTAGGTAAAGGGCATGATATTTGGCTTGTCAAATGCAGAATTGGGATTTCTAGCAACGAACTACTCAAAAATTAGAGATTTGCCTTTCCTTGTCTATGTCTGTATGTCTCTGTCTACGTACATGGCACATTTTCACACTTTCAACGCAAAAGGATGATGGTCTAATTTAATTTCTGTGCCCTTTTCCACATGATACTGTAATAGCATTTTTATGTAGCATTTTCCTTATAAATCTCTAAGGGGTTTTTTTTGTAGTTTGCATTATTGAAATTTTACCCTCTCTGCTGCTTATCAAAGTCCCTAGTACACAATGACTGAAGTGTTTATATAAATACATTATACCTTAATGTTTCTGTCACTGGATTAACAGTTAAATCCACATGGTCACCGCTGGCATAGCAGTTAAAGCGGACTGGCCATCAGCTGTCATTGCTCATGATTTCAGTGGGAGGTCAGTGCTAGTGTCAGAGCCACTTAATGCAAATTCACTTCCAAAAGGATGGCACGCGTTGTACAGTAACATAAAATGTCATATTGAATCAAGCAGCAGTCTCTTAGTACTATCACCCCAAAAGAACCAATTGTTAATAGCTTTTTTCTTCTGAAACTTTTTCTTTTTCCAGAACAAAAATACGGAGCTGGCATCTACTTTACAAGGAACCCGAGAAGCCTAATCAAGGGTAAAGACACGTGGGAAACAGACTCTAAAATGTACGTGTTTGAGGCTGATGTATTAACAGGCTTATTCACTAAAGGCGAACAGTCTTACCTCGTTCCACCAGCAGTGCAAGGGGATGCCACTAAGGTATATGACAGCTTAGTAGATGATGTAAACAATCCTGACACCTTTGTCATTTGCAATAGTGTTGGGGCCCTTCCACAGTATTTGTTGACTTGTTCACAAGTGAGGGAGGGGTATATGGCGTTCTGAGGAAACCAGCAGCATATTAGTTAGAACTGAAGCTATTGTGAAGACCTCTTCAGAACAAAGCCTAATACTTAGAGGATGCTCTACCTAGTAACACATTGTGATCAAAGTGCCTTGTGCAAAGTGCTCTGAAATATCCGTGAACAAAAAAAAGTCAGTCAATACCTTAAGGAGATTAGAATAAAATTACCTGTGAATGGAAACAGAAGGGAAAGCATCACAAAATACAGTTTAACATTTATCTCTTCATTTACTTTCTGCCTTAAAGAGTTCTGAGCATGTGACTATATACTTGTTGCTTGCATAGGCTGTCATTCTTCCATTAAATTTTCTTAATCTGAGATACTGCATGTATTAGTGAAACGCAAGAAACCATGGTTGTGCCTTCGATTCTTAAATCTTCTTTTGACTTAAATAGATTAATGTATCGGGTGAAAGCTGTTTCCCACTTAGGGACATGCTCTTAAATACACAGTTACAACAACTTTGACGCAATACTCAATGCTTTCTAACAGTAGTTGCTGTAAGAGTTTTTATTAGTTAAGATACTTCAAGCATTGTAGATGTGTATATTCAAAATAAAAACAATGAACAACACTGTCCACTAACCTGTTATTTTTCCATATAGTCTTAAGAATGTGACTTGGCCTGTATTTGAGCTTCAGGTTTCTCAGTCGTGTTTGATCTCTTTTAGTGGAGAACTGGTTCAAGCAACAGCTTGAACTTGTTCTTCAATTAATCTGCCTTTACCAATACCTTTTAAAGATTACAGTGTCAGCCTTGTAGCAAGGTATGCCCACGTTGCTTCTGTGATGACCTGAAGCCAGTAAAAGGAAAAGCCTAAGAGCTGTTATACTCATGTCAATGTAAAAGGGGATTCAGTCCAGCCCTCGGGTACTTTGAAACTTTCTGTACTAAAGCCTGAAACTGTGTCTGACATTAGCAGGGTTTAAAACAAAACTGTTGGCCCGAACTAAAAGGTACTACCGGATTTGCCCTATCTGAAGTATGGAAAACCATCAGTTACAGCCCTAACTAAACACCCAAAGAGCTTGTAACAATACTGTAACACAGAAATAAAGGCTCATCTGTCAGTACTGGGTCTGCTTCCAGACTGAAAAGTCACCTATGGTTAAAACTGCAATTATCTGGAGAGAAGAAGGACTCACATAAAACTATTAACATCATTGTTTTTTTTCATATGAAAAGCACTTCCTCCACCTGTAAAGCACAGCGCTAGTGGAAAGCAGTCTGAACCCTAAACCATAGATGAAATTAATGTTTAATAAAACTTTTCAAAATAATTTGTTAATGAATTCCCAGCATATTTGTACTGCACCTGCAACTCCCAAGACAGTAGTCATAGTGCTAAGAACCACTCAAGTCCAAATTTGTTTTTACTATTGCAAAACAAACTTTTAAATTTAATATATTAAGTTTGTTTTTTAAAATGATTTTTATGATTAACTATGTCTACATTGTTGCAAAAGGGTAGCTTTTGTAGTGTGTGAGCCTAGTATGCTCTAGTATAATGTTAAATGAGCAGAATCCCCATGAACTTGTAAGAGCCATTTAACACATGAGTCTTGTTCTCACAGAAATCCCAGGTTTGCTTTCAGATAGTATACTGGAAGTTTGAAAGCAGAATTAGTCTTTTCTTATTTTAACTTTTCCATTTAGGCAAATGCTTCTCCTCTATTTCTGTCCCATTTTTCCTCATGGTTCTTATTCACATGACTGCCAGGAAAATATGCAGCTGTAGATTTAAGGTGTGCGAGACAGCATTGAACAAGAATACGCTCTTATTTCAGCTTGCTTCAAGAGGTTTCGTTTTTTAAAGGAGGTTCATGACAGGAATTTTTTTTTCCTGTTTTCTTTTTTGAAGAAACTCAGTACAGAGTTTCTGAACTACTGCAACCATTTCTAACAGACATCAGCTTCCAGAAAACCTTAAGGAATTTATTTTTTGGCACAATGTAACATCTTTTCTCCTACTCAAAATAAAGAACAGTTTTCATATTGCAGTATTATTTTAATACTGTTACACAAGTACTGGTAACAATGTATTTTATTAATAACCTTTTTATTAACTTTATAACTCTTATTAACTACATCTGAAAAATGTTGGTAGCGAGTTTAATAGAAAAAAGTAATTACTGTGAAAACTTTAACAGCTTACTCAAATGCTCAGCACATGCTTCCTCCTCCCTCCACATACACCCACAGTTTTTAAGGATTCAGTCCTACTGAATATTTATCTTCCATTTTATTATAGCGGAATTTTTTCTAGTATATAATTTTTACTTACGTTCACCAGTATTCTCCACACTTAGCGATATAATATATATTCTATGTGTATATAGTTTTTTAAAAACTGGTAATGTAAGAGGTTGTATATAATTATTTTTATCTGGTCCTCAAAAAGAATAATTTCGTATACAGAAACTAGTAAATAAACCCAGCACAAACTAGATGTACCAAGTAGTCCATACTGAAATAATTACCACAGTAATTGAAAATTCCTGATCTTAGTCCTACAAGAATCAGTTAACTAGAGGCTACTCCACAGCCTCTGGGATTTCTCTGTCATCCACAATAAGGGTATGAAGAATTCCTTCCTTTCGTTTTCCACTACTGACAGCCTTAATGCAACAGCTGTGATCATCAATACTGAAGTGAGTTTCAGTCCCATCTTCTACAAATTCACCCTGGGAGAAAGGAGACAAGAATAAAACCAGACATCTGCTATTTTAGTAAAATAAAGGCTTGAGTGCCAAGGTCAAGATCCTTTGTAGTTCCCACAATTAGAGCAGCCGTAGGTACCTGCAACAGGTACAGCACAAATGCTGCACAAAGCTGCAGCATCTCACCTTGGGCTTTGTCACGGCATCCAGAAGATTTGTGGGTACTAGATGACAATCAAAATTTCACATAATCAGAAATAGTAAAGTTGGAGTTTATGAATTAATGTCATTGATATCTGTCAGTAAAACAACAGAAAAGCCAGTTTCCTTCCGAGTTGTGCAGTACAGCCAGTAAGTGCCACACAAACTGAAGTGGCAGTAGAATGTGTAGTATTTAGCAGTGCTTTCTCCAGCAGGACAAAGCGATCCCTGAACCGAGTGCAACTGCTCTGTTTTGGAGACACAGCTCCTGCTGCAGTTACCCAATTCCCTGTTAGGGCTTTTGTCACACACATCTGTGTTTTTGTCATCTTTGGGAGAGTAGAAAAATCTGTGTGCTGCTCTAACGCAGGCACTGTTTGACAACTAAACCTGTAATTGTAGCTTGCAAGAATATCTATCTCCTAGTGCATTTATTACATTACAGAAAAGGCTGAGAACCATCAAGAGCCGAAGTTCTGATTCACTGAGAGAGGATGCTTCTTCCACTGATTACGAAAGAAATATTTGGTGAATCTTTTAATCCTATTCTCAAGTATAGCAAAACTGTTGATTTTGCAATTTGTATTCATCCAGGGGATTACTTGTAGCAGTAGTAATCCCAGTGACAACACTCCGGTGAGAAAGCACATCCTTCAAGGATGAGGAAGCCTACATAGTATGAATATTGAAAGCTGTCATAATATAAAAAGTCACCAAATAGATTAAGCCTTCTAGCTGTCAACCTACTCTAAAAATTAATGTAGATGTGACAAAAAGACAAAAGATCTGATTGGTTCCAATGAGACTCTTAAGCCCAAAGTGTCAGGGATCATCTCTAGACGGGGAAAAAAAAAAAAAAAAAAAAAAAAAAAATCGAGGCATAACAGACCTGTGTTCAGTCACCACTAACACAGGCAGGTTTGGGTGAGGTGGCTCTATGCTCTGCATCAAATTCAAGTCCCTCCCACTCCCCTGAAAGTTTTCCCCCCAAAAATCCTGGGCAACAGACCCAGATTTCTTTTGCTTGTCTAAAAAGTATCAACAAAAACACTGTTTATCCTTCAATAGACAGATGTTTGTATGGCATCCTAACTGAAATATTGTCAGTTATACAGTGAAGGATATTGGGAACAGACTAATAGTGCACTGGCTGTCCAGGTGTATGCTCATACTCTGTGGCAAAGGGAGGTAACGTGCCCCTCAGTGGCTTCTTCCACTAAGCTTTGGTTCTCCAGCCATAGCCCATGAAAAGCCTTTGGAAATGATCACGTACCGCTGTTTCCATTTTTTGACCGTTGCACCACACATCCATAGTGTCCTTTTCTGGGAAGGAAAAAGATAACAAAAAGTAGAAAGAACAAGATATTTTTGTCCCCCTACAGACAAGAAGATCTAGGAATTTTACAAATTTACTGCTGAATTTTACTTTCAATTCTCAAAAGAAGTTCCTAATTAGCCATTATACCTGGGCTACAGGGTTTGTTCTTACATTGGAGAGATGAGAGGCTGTCATCAATAGGCAAACAACTTTTGCCATGAATACTGATTTTCACCTCTCTGTTAATAGCCCTGGCTATTAACACTGCATTGTTCTGAATATTGTCAGAGAGATTCTGACATCCTTAAACTGAAAAACTTGAAGACAGAAAAATGAAGTAATTTCTGCTAATTATGTGAGTGCGCTTTATTCAGTGAAGCTCTAGCATTTCTTCCAGGTCAGTTTAATTCAAAAGCAGCATTATTTAACATCCATCAAACCATTTGTATTCTTAAAGTCTCCTTGAAAACCCAAGTACCACTTTAAATATCAATCTTAGATTTTTTTCATTTGAAACAGAATATTCTTTTACTTCTCTCAACATATCTTTCTTAAATTACTTTGCTCTAGAATTCACATACTAACACTGTCATCCACAGGACATCAGTAGAAAAAATACTGCTTGCCTTTTAAGTAAACAGAGGAAGATAAAAATCTCTGGGGAGACTAATCTGTTTCTGGCATTAAAATTGTCTTTCTTCCCTGCTCCCCTTCATCTTAGGGCAGCTCATTCTGTCCTGAGGCTTAAGAAGAAATCATAGCCCAAGAACTCTTCTCCAGGTCTAACCATACAGCAACACCTAAGTGGAAGTTTTCCCACTAGATGCCACAGATATTTCACAGGGGATCCCTTCCTCCCATCTGTTTGTATTGTATTCGGGAAAGGAGGGCAGAGGGAAAGAAACGTATTGCCTTACTATTAAGAAAGTGAAAAAACATTATCCGAAGTTTTTAGATTAAATTTGTAGTTAAGAAGTGGTGCAGAAAAAAAAGGATGCTGATTAATCTATCAAAAAGGTGGAATAACATCGTCTCACTTCTTCAGTTAAAGACTCCTTGACTTTGGCTTATGATTTTTGGAAGGAAAGCCTGGTTACCTGGATAACAAACTTACACACACAGAGCAGGTTTGATCACAACGCAGACAGCACTTCTATAACATGCTTCACCTGGAGGACTGTCTAAGCTAGGGCAGGTCTATGGATACAGAAACCGTAACTCCTTCCAACCTTTTTATTTATTTTTTTTCTTTTTTTAAATCTAGACCATGCTGCTGTAGAACAGAACACTGACAGCAGGTTCACACAGGTGTGCCAAGACCATTATTTTTCAGACTGTCTTTGATATCTGATTCCAAATTTTCAGACCATCCAGGATTTTACACTGCAACAGTGCTAGCCACTGAACCGTCCTTTCTCTTAATTGCAAGTTATTAAACACATGCAAGTTTATTCAAAGGCAGCAACAAGAAGTCACTCAATGTTTACTTACCTAGAACAACTCTATAGTCTGTACCACCCAAGCTCAATACCCAAGTATTGGTTGTTTTTGACCTGTTCTCCATATACTTCTTGAGGCTCTTTCCATTGATGTCCAAGGTATATTCATATGCAAACCCACTGACTGCATCAATGTTAATAGTAGCTTTTGTTTTGGCTGCTCCAACAGTGAATGTTTCTTTACCTACTAATTTAAACATCCATTCTTTTCTTATTTCTTCCTGTAGAATAAAACAAAGACAATGGCTATTAATTGATCAACCTGAGTGCATGTTTTAGTATAAAAAAAAATTGCACTAGAACTCAGGAAACAGCTCAGTACGTAACTATCATTTCAGAATGAATGAATACACAGTATTCAGTATGTCTAGACCTCTGCCCAAGGACAGCAAAGCACTTCATGAATACTCACACCTCAACTGTAACTGAAAAAAAGAATGATACAATTCATTAAATTAGGTAAAGTTAATCAACTGAATATACCTCACTTGCATTTATTAGTCTTTTGTTTGTTCTGATGCTTGTTGCATGGAAGTGCACTTATATAATCTGTATCATAGTGAATTTTGAGCACATAGCAATTTCACCTTTCCATCAACATAGACAACACGTTTTCCTGAAGTGGTCCCATGTTCAAATTCAATCTTATGAACACCATCACTTAAAGCTACTTCCCACACAGCCACCAAATCTGTCATCTTCTCCAAGTGGCTGTACTGAGACCTATGGAAACACCAACAAAGTAAATTAATTGTTGTCGAAAGAGTTCAATTACTGATATCTATAGTTCAAAGCTTTACTGCTTCAGGGCAAGTCGCTTTTTACAAATGAAAAATGAGACTTGAAAGAATAACCTTACAGAACTGCTTATATTTTCATGGTTTTCAAACATTCAAATATGACAAAATATCACAAAATATAGACGGACTGTTAAACAGACTCACTCTGACAAACACCACACAAAGACATATATATCCATCTAACCTCTAAAACCTCTATTTCAGGTGATAGTACAGTTACAAAACTATACTGCTCCTGGACAGTTCTACAATTTCTTGGCAGGCACAAAAATATGGTATTTTGACTGGTCTCTGAGAACGTGTTTCTGCCTTTTAAACTTGAAAAACAGTCAGGATGACCAGTTTAACTATTACCAGTTTTAACAGATTAGTCTGTAATCTCTCTCGCAAACATTACCTACATAATTCAGAAATGCAACTCTCCACACACAAACACCCATAGGGGAGGAGACCTGGCAAGATATCCTCTTATTTAAGTAATTTTTAAAGTTTAGATCCAGTCATAAGTGATCATTGCAACTGTGGATATCTTTCCAAATCTGCTCATACCACAGTTTTGATTTTTTACCTTACTTCATCTTCACAGACAATAATCTCCTCACGAGATGCCATAGTAACCAAAACAGCTTTTAATCCAACTAGCAGCAAGAAAAAAAGAAAACTAGAATAGCAGCATAAAATTGTTGAGACCTAAATTTTCCTCATTTTCTCCATTTAAGATAAACAACATTTTAAGAAGTGTCATGAAGTATCATGCACTGCTGTATATATGATGAAATACAAACATAATTTTTCATCTTAGACAGAAAGGTAAATTTCAGCATTATTTTACAAAACTACTAAGTGCAATTTGTCCTAACTTTATTAGCACATCATAACTTTGTCAGTTATTTGATGGAAAAATGATTTACCTAATTTGTGAGCAAAATCTTAGAAACTGACAACTTGACCAAAGCAGGAACCAAATCCAGAGCTGCCCATCTCAGTCATAAACCGTAACAAATTAGGGACGGTTGCCACCTCAGGGCAAGTAAAATAGCACAGGCAACAATTTTAACCTACTAATTTTTCTAATCCACTGTAGCAGTTTCCAACATTATTAGCAATTTGACCTGGCAATTCAGTCATACAGTCTGTGTGAACCACAAATAAATCACATGTGCTTCTTACTTAGGGGGTTTTTTGATTATGACTGGTTTACAACACTGATGACTTAATTCATTATTTTCACTAAACAAATGAATTTATTGAGCTATATGCACTGTCTGTACATGTCAATAAGCATAATTTAAGTGAGTGCAAGTAAGTGAATTTTTGATAAATTATACTTTACAGTGAAAAACTAATTAAAATTAAAGTTGTAAATTCTAGGTTCTCTCTTCAGCATAACAGAGGAATGTGCATTTAAAAATCAAACCTTCGCTGTCTTAAGTTTTTATTTTAAAACAAGTTCAAGTACACTGCTGTATTACTGTCCATGGTTTTGTCATTAATTACACACATTTCTATTCATAAGCTGAAAAATAAGTTTTAAAAACAGTGAAACCATTTTAAGGATCTAAGGATTTAATTCTCACAGTAGTGAGCAGCCTACACCACCTAATAAATGCCGAGGAGATTGTTCTGGTTGTTCCTAAAGTTAGAAGTTGATTTCTGTGAAAGCTCACATCCCCTGGCCCACGGTGGTCAGGCAGGGTGCATTTCTGCACTTTCCCCTCAAAGTAGTGGGCACCAGAGGCTCAGGACAGACCCACGCTTGTCCCGGCCAGCTAACCAACATGAGAAGTGGCCGTGGGCACAAAAATAAATGCCAGAAGAGGTGGCACCTGGAACGTGCCTACAGGCCACCCACAGACACCGCATCACCCCGGCAGTACGCAACCCTGCTGCATGAGTTTTAGAAGATAAATTAGGATCAATGCTGAAAGGGTTAGGAAACACCACAGAACACACGATTTCCTTTTAATCAAACCTGAACCCAAACTCTATGCCAGCTTTATGTTTTCTGCAGAACAGTCCGTACCATCAGAGTCTGAAGGGAAAGCCATACACTACTACACGAGTAGAAAATGCCAGCCACAGCCTCAGGCATTCACTCACTGGCACAAACCCAAGGAAACGGATTTTTACTAACCACAGACCGTCTCGTTCCATTGCATTTTTCTGTTAACCAAGTCAACAGCTCAAACTGATATTTACTTCTTTATACGTAAGGACTTGTTATAAAAGAATAGGATAGGCTTACCGCTCTGCATCCACCTAATCCATACCTGGTAGCAGACAGCGGGAGGAAGGCGTGCTAGAAAGTGGACTCCAGAGACGGCAAATTTCTCCCCACCACCCACGTTTACTTGCCAGTAAAGAGTTTGTTTTGTTTTGTTTTTTTTTTTAAAAAAAAGTCTTGCCAGCAACCCTTCTAAATCCTCCTCAAAGGGCTTATTGATGATCGCCGCGATCCTCCACAGCCAGTGAGAATCGGCGACTCCTCTCCGGGCCGCGCTTGCCCACGCCTCAAACCGCCGACCCCCGCCCGGCTGGCCCGGCGGCGCCCGCCGCGGTTCCCCGGCACGTCCCACCCTCCTCCGGGCCGGGCCCGCGGCAGCAAAAGCAGAAGCACACGCCGCCGTAGGTGCGGTCTGCTCCCCCCTCCTCCTCCTCTTCCTCCACCAACAGCCAGGCGGTCTCCAAGGAGCCCGGCGGGACGCTCCCTCAGCCTGAGCGGGCCCGGCCATCCCACCAAAGCGATGTCGGGGCGCCCCTGGGACGGGAAGGGAGAGCAGCTCCCAGGCGCCTGAGGAAAAGTAAGACCTCCGCGGGTGGGCCATCCATCAAACGACCTCAGTCCCGCTCCCGGCCCCACTCCTACCTCCGCGGGGGTCTCCTCCCACTCGGCTTTCCGCGCCTCAAAATGGCGGCGTGCGGCCAGCGCCGCCCCGCGAGCTCCGTTCTTCCCTTCCTCTCTCCCTCCCTCTCCTCAGCGCGGGCGGCGGGTAGCGGCCCGCCCGCCGCCCTCTTCCCGCCGCGGGCAGCCCCGTCCCAGGCTGTGCCCCGCCGCTGACCGGGACCTGCCGACTCTCCGCGTTCTGGTAAACCGACTCCTCCTCCTCCTCCTCCTCCTTCTTCTTGTGCGTCCCGGCGGCAGTCTGCGGGCGGCGGCGGTGCGGGGCCCGGCCCCCTTCGCCGGCGGTTCGAGAGCGGGCAGCCCTCGCCATGACAGAGGTACCGGGGTGGACCTGAGGTGGCTGTTGTGCTTGCTTGGTAGTTAAAAACAGAACAAAAAGAAAACAGATCAAACAGTAAAGCCCCAGAGCAGGCACCTGTGTCCTCTGAAGGGCTTCTCTTGGGGCTGGGGTAGCGGGTAGAGGTACACTGCACCCCCGGGGTGTTGGAACTACCCGAGGGCTGGTTGTCTGGGTTCTTTAAAAAGGTAAATTTTACTCATTGCATGTATTTCTCCTTCTAATAGTGATCATAAAAACTGAGTATTCCGTATATTGTTAAGTACACTTTTTCCCAATATTTTTTGCAGTTCCTATTACAAAGTCTCACAAGTCCTCCTGTAGTGTCTGGAGATTCCTGGGGGTTTGGGGTTTGTTTGGTTTTATTTGGGGGCATTTAGTATCCTCAACTGCCTGCACAGCAGGAAGGGCAGGAAACTGTGAGCTGATCTTGAGAACTCAAGTTTCTGTCTTCCCCTTCTCCCAACTGCAGCAGGAGAAGGCGGAATGGGAAAACTTAAACAAGCTATTAATGCGTCATGGGTTGAAACCGGTGAGTTTTACTGCTCCCCAGAGCTGCAGAAATACATCAGGTAAGAAAATACTAGTTTTACAAGTTTTTGTATTTGGAAATAGTAAGCCTAAGTTCATAAGCCATCTCTAAAGCCATCATGACTTCCAGGTGGTATCAGAGATGCGATCTTCTTCAGCTATTAAAAGCCTTTCGTTATGACTTTGCTTATTTTATGTGTGTCCAGATATGATTGTCTTAGACAGTCAGTCTTCTCTAGGAATAAGACTTGCATTAAAAACGCTGGTGGAAGATGCTGACCGACAGCAGAAAATGATGCAGGGGCTTATGGAGGCTAATCGTCATCTTAGGTAAGATGCAGTGGAAGGAACTTACCTGGTAATGTAAAGCAAAGGTGCTATCAGTGTCCATCTCCTCCCAGGTGGAGCTCTTGTCACACCAAAAGGCTAAGACCTTTTTCCTGAGATTATTGTCGAATATGCAGCAATGTTGGCCTTAGTTCCTTTTGAACTCTTCTGTTATTTCATCTGCTGCTATTTCCCATGCCTGCTGCCATAGGCTATTACTGAGCATCAACAGATAATGTTGTCAGGCCTGTGCTTCCTTCACTGTCTTTAGTGAAATGAGTTTAATTTATATCAAGGAGTTTTGTTTGTTTTTTTCAGAGATGAGATACGACAGGAACGAGGTAGGGCATCTCGACAAGAGCAACGCGCTAATGATTTAGAAAATGTGGTAAAAAACATTAAGTCCAAAATTTGTCAGCTGGAAGACGAGACGATAGCCAAAGTTTGCCAGCAACAGAATCAAGTCAAAGAACTTCAAAAAGATCAACAGGTTTCACAGGTAATTCAGACAGTGCTGTCTGAGGATTCAAACTTTTGACTTTTTTTTAAAAGTTCCAAAATTATTTACATTGATCAAAATAAACATGAGTGTTGGGTCGTAGAGATAATATACTGTCTGTAGCTAAGATTTTTCAATCTATACAGAATTTTTTAGCAATAACTTGGAAAAATATCTATATCCTTCTTCCACTGCTTCTTCAATATGGCTAAGTACTATGCCTCTTTGGGACTAAGTGCCTACTTGGGCATATATAGTATAACCTCCAGGTTGTGGGTTAGAATAATTTCATAATGCTCCCATTGTCTGTTCACAGGCAAAATATCAACAGCAGCAGGAGAAGCTACAGGAACAAGAAGAGATTATTGTCCGTTTACAGAAGGAGCTGTGCAAAGTTGGGATGGAAGAGCAACAGCGTGTTGCCACTCAAAACAAAATGTTTTGTCGGTTTTGCAAAAGAGCTCCCAAGTCTCTTCTAGATCAGCAGTAAGCAATTTTCTTATATTGGTGAATGGCCTGTAACGTTAAATGAAATAGATTTTAAAGTAATTGTTCGTAATATTTATATGGGGAAAAAAAAAAGCTGGAGCGCAAGCTGAAATAGGAATTCTTGTGTAGGTACATGAGTGCAGTAGTTTTTTCTTGTATAAAAAATGCGATGTGGGTAAATCCATGTCAGAAATTAACAAATAGTCAGCCACTGTATACACTAGGTGTCAGCAAAGAGAAGGGAATGATTCACTCTCATCTGGAACTGCAGTGTCTGCTAAGGTGATCTCATTCTGGGGTTCTAACATTTTAGAATGTACATTAAAAAAACAACCAAACTAAAACACAAGCACCACACTCTCCTCAAAAATCTCTTCCAGTTTTGGAAAGTGGTCTTTGCAGCTGCTGACTGCAGGCTTGCTGTAAGGCTTCCCACATACTTCAAGGAAAGTTCTGAAAGTATTCCAAGCCAGTGTCTCTTGCGGTAAGATCTCCGTAGTTCTCCTATAGTCAGAGATTTGCCAATTCTCTTGGGCCTCAGGTAACCATCACTTTATTGTGCCAATATCAGCTGGTTTTCTAGGCCTGGCGAGCAGTGTTTACCTGGGAAGCATTTAAAAGTGATTGTGTGTGTGCAGCCCTTTTCTCATGCCCTCACTTTGTGGGAGGAAGGGTCGCTGAATTTGGTTCCCTGTGTTTTCTCATCTGTCTCCAAAACAGACAGTCTCAGAGTGCTCAAGAGGAAAGGCAGTTTTTTGTGTCTCTATTTTTTGCAACCACTTACTTTGAAAGCACGTTTAGTTTCTTTGGAGACGGGTGTTGTCGGGCTCTGTGGGACCTGCACTCACTACCTTCCGCAGTGGTCACTGAGCCCTAGCACTCAGGACGGTGCCTCACTGTTAACCTTGCTGGGTAAATGTAGCCACAAGATGAGGCTGTCAGGAGGATTTAGCTTTTTTTCCTCCTCTTGAATAATTTTGGCACTTTTAGACGAGTACAGTTAATGTCTCTACTTTTCTATTTTGGAAAACTGTGACCCTGTTTGATATGAGAGAAAACCCACTGTTTGAAGCAGTCACTTCTAGAAGTGCAGTGCAGTTCTGTAAGCTGGCCTGTTCCTACTGGTTGGTCACAGTATCTTTCAGGCATGATTTTTTGGAGAATATCTGAAATTCAAAATACCGTTTTTCTTTTCTTCAGGTTCCTTTGTTTAATTGATTATTATGAATCTGAAATTAGTCAAATGAAAAAGGAGCTAAGGTAGGTTTTGTCTAATGCCTTATGGTTCCACTGTTAAAAATTTTCTTACTTCTTACTGTTCTTAAATTTTATAATGGTAATATTCTGTGTTCCAGACATTGCTAGCATGTAAGAAACAGCAAAAGATTGTAATGGTCATGAAAGCTTGGATTCATCTAGGGAATAACTGTCAGTCAGGCAGAATTACTGTATTAGCTGTACTCAGTCAACTGATCCCCCTAAAAAGGAATACCAGGTTTTCAGCTGTATCACAGTGCCTACATGATACAAAGCAAGAAGCAGATACCTGAGACATTCCTATAAATTGAGATTATTATCTCGAAAATTGAGATGGGGTTTGCTTGTACTTATTCTCTGGAGGAATAAGTGCATTGAATTAGTATATGAAAAAGCTGCCCAGAAATAATAAAAAGCAATGGATCTTAGAGCAGAATTTATATTCTATTTACTTTGCAGTTTATGGAAACATTATTATCATACATAACTGCTAACTAAACCAACTTAGATCTTTGAGGTAATCAAATTACAGTAAGCTAAAAGAATTTATTTTTCTTAATAGGCAATATCAAAAAGATGAAGACCAGGTACAGAGAGAAGTAAAAAGCAAGGAAGAATTCTTAAATCTAGATGCTACTCCTAATTATAGAGCACTGCTCACGGTATGGAACTGCTAAGAATAAGTCAGTGCAGATCTCTAAATGGTAACCCTTCAAGAGCCATGTAGAAACATAGATGTGTTTTTTATTTCTATCCCCTTGTTCTTATCATGTCTTCTTAACATCTAAACTCTCTGGGTGGGGTTCACTGTCTTTTATACAAAGATTCAGTACTATGTTGTGAGTCGTCTTTGCTGGGGACTGTGCAGACCTCCTTAATCACAGGTTCTCCAGTTGTGGTCTAATGCACCAGGCTCTTGATCTTAGTCGACTAATTCCTCACCCATGCTGTCTTGCTCTATAGGCAAATGGGAACCCTTCTTAACACATGCATACTTGAAAGTGTTCAAGCTTGTTGATTATGGAGCGAGTGAAATAAAAGAAATAACAGAGTCTGTGTTGCAGTCTTTCCAGAAACAACTCATTGAAACAAAAGCCATGAATGAACAGCTTTTTCTTGAAAATATAAACCTCAAGAAAGATTTGGAAATAAGGTGAGAAAGGATAAGTATCCTTGTTTGTAAGGGCACTACGGCAGACTTTGCCTTACAAAGAAAGAAACTGAAGGCACCAGCAATTGTAAAAGTACAGTATGAAATCTGCCTTTTAAAAGTGATCCATAGAAGTAAGATAGGGCAGCAGCAGTCAGCCTTCCTTCCCTACACTGTTAATAACAACTGCTAATGGTTATTTTGCTGTGGCCACATAGAAATATTGCAGAATTTAATTTCCAGAATGACATTGTGGCACTGGCAAAGCTTTCTTACTTTTTTGCTTAGCTGAGTTTTATAGGTACCTTCTGAATGCAAGACGTATAATATGGTACTTTTTCCTTCTAACAGACCAACTGCACAGGAA